AAGGTTTAAAGTTGTGTTTTCTTCCTTACAGAGGTAAAATCATTTGTTCATTTATCATCATAACTAATAGCTTATTGACAGTGTTACGTTAATATTTTAATTCAACTTTGTTTTTGACCTATATAATTTCAAATCGTGATAGTTTCTTGTGTAGAATTTGATTTCCAAGTGTGACTACAATACAAGACCAAAAATGCAATAATTAGCTAATCAATTCATTTCATGCTTTTGGATTGGCTCATTGCTTTATTAATAAATAATTTAAGATAATCAATGTTTCTAGCAAAATAATTTAGGAGCGAAAATACCTATGGGCCGAATCATTAGTATAAAAGTTAAATATCAATCAGTTATTAGTTCAATTTATAAATCATCTTAAACGTTGGCCCAAAAAAAATTATAAATCATCTTAAACATTTACTTAAATGTTACTTGGTGACGCATTATTACGTTATATTGCGAAATATTTTTGAAACAAAAGGATACATTAAATTTAGACGCTGCTTCATCATTTTTTAAATTAACTCAAACCAACTGTTGTTTACTTGTTTTATTTGATTTAATTATTTATTTGCCTGTCCTAATCAAAGTCATATATATGTTGTTAATTAAACAAATGGGACTGATCAATTTGATTAAACATTCGTGAGTTCATTTTTACCTTCTTCTTCTTCTTTCTAGGGGCTTCTTTGATGTTGAAAGTTAGAGTTACCATTTATTCATCTCTGTGATTTCCCGGAAAAGGACAAGTTGCAGATAAATCAACCCAGAGAAATAATACAAAATGCTGAAAACTCTACGACAAATGTGTTAATGTTGAGTAATTGCACACAAGGTCACTTTCATTAATTTATATTTGAACAGTTTGAGTAATATTTTTTTAAAAAATAATTGAATATACTCCATTGTTTGTCAGACAACAGAGAATAAAAACTGTCGGAAGCTTCTTCTTCTTCTTCTTCTTCTTATATATCACAAGAAACATTGAGATGGGATTTAATACCCATGGTCAGAAACTGTGCGAGTAAAACATCAAAATACTTAATTCCTATTAATTTCTTCAAATTCTCTTGAACCAAAATAATTTTTTTAGTTCAGATTTTGTTAATAACTCCTAAAAATAACTTATGACTAATTATCTCCTCTATGTCATAACCCATGAACATTTTTGGATAAGATCCAGAAAAAGCTATAGAATAAATAAGTACAATGTTGGATTTTTTTTTCCCGATAAACTTGTTTTTCTTATAATAAACACCTTTGTTTTGGACCAACAATATAATAACGCAGGATTCAAACTCAAGAAGTAAAAATCCCGGTCAAGGAGGGAAAAAAAAAGTAACATAAGAAATGAAAATGAGGATAACCACTAATGGAGTTGGATCTATCGGAATAAGTTAATTTCTCACAATATAACAAACTAAGATTTAGATCTTCACTGAAAAGATACTCATATTTAATAGCTGATAGTGTCTAATATGATTGTCTTTAATGAGAGAATATTTACATCTAGCAAAACAAAACAAAAAAGAAGAGGAAAAATGAGGTTTTGACCGACAAAATATGTTGCCATCAATATGACTCACATCAATGGTCCCAGTTCATGAGCCTTATCCAATCCATATGATTCATTGCCACGTTGTTCTTTCTAGTGGATTTAGGCTACTTCCTCTAAATTTCATGCTCTTTTTTTTTAAAAAAAAAAAATTAGTTTGTTGGTATGATCCAAACTAAATGAGGGAATATATATATATTTTAAAAAAACTTGATTTTCATTTTGATATGTTTGGCTTCTTAACCATTTATGAAAGTAACGTGACCATCTTCATCACTTCTACTCTTGTTTTTCACTTACCCATGGTTTGGACCTTTTTTTAAAAGAAAGATTTAGACGGATAAGTGGAATTAAACCCACAACCACCTTTTATTCATGTGCAGATTTTTGTGACACAAAATTATAAAGTTATTAGTTTCGATATGTCAACCAAACACTTTATAATTAAAAAAAAAAAGACAAAGCAAAACAAAATCATATCACATTTATATAATAATTATGCGTGAAGAACTCCTAAAATTTAACTTTGCCACTTTATTAGTAGAACACTCCTAAAAATAATAATAAACAAATCTTGGTTTGATTAAAGACGTTGCCAAATGGGCTAAGCACCTTTCAAGGCTAATCCATTTTTAACCTTCATTATCTTTCCCTTAAACTTCACAACCTAAATTATGGCACCAGATAAGAACCAATTTGCTTGTCAAAACTGTAAAAGAGATTGAAAGTTAAAGAAATAAGCTAAGTATATAATATAATAAAATATGTTGCCATCAATATGACTCATAAGAATGATCCCAGCTTATTTGAGACTTATCCCATACATTTGACACAATGCCACATAATGTTGTTCCTAATGGGTTTACATTTTCTAGGGTAAAATCCATGCCGTTATTGATATTTAAATAAAAATGGTTCCTTAGTCAATTTGATCCCGTCGTTGAGATAGGGACTGAAACTTGATTTGGCAATGTTTTTTAAAAGAAGAAAAAAGTAATATGTAACAATTAATAATAGTCTATTCCAGTAGACATTAGACTTGGATAACCAATGTTGGTAGTTTGGATCTTATATATTTTTTTAAAAAAAAGTTAACTGAATTAAGAGCGTTACTGTGATAATGTTTGAATTTGAGCAATATTATTCCTCCAGTCCTTAATATAAGACCTATTTAACTAATTTAATTAGATTAAGAAAGTTAGGTAAGTTAATTAATTATAAGAAATGTGACACGTTTTTCTTAAAACATCATAATCATCTTTCTTAATACCCCCTCTCCTTCTTCTACTTGATTATAGTTGAGGGAGTATCTATATGGGTAATTTGGAGAAAATTGATAAATATGAAAAATGGGTCTTATATTTAGAACCAAAACCAACTCAACATTTGGGTTCTATATTAAGGATCGGAGGAGTACTAGATATAATATAATTATTTTTTTCAAAAAAAAAATCAATTAACCCTACAATATACATTGCCAAAATGGCAACCCTTGTCCCTCAAAATGATCCCACCCCTTATTCCACAAGTTGAATTAAAAATATTATCATAATAACAAGTTAAATGACTATATATTGAAATAATTGGATCGGTAGGTGATGATATTTCTCAGCTGGCCACTTGTTCTTGTACATATCATTTATCCACATATCGGACATCCTTGAGCTTATCGTTTACCACGTAACACTACTACTATAATATACTTCTAATCTACTTAGAGTTCACACGTTAAATGTGTGAATTTGACTCCACAACCTTCACGAAATAAATAGAAATTTTGATCCTTATAGTTTTATAAAATTTGTTCTAAGTTTAACTATATAGACAAAAATTAAAGGAAGAAACTTACGTTTGAGTTTTTTATATTAATTATGTTAAATTATCTAATTATACATACGATGTATCTTTTTTTCACTTCATTTAGATTTATAATTAAATATTAATATTTCAAAAATATAACACACGATTATATGTGATTAATTTAATATCATTGCTCATCCGTATAATTTGATTGAATTTTGATATCTACAATTTCAAATAGTTAGTTTTGATCCTTATAGTTTTATGAGAACTTAATCTAAGTTTAACTATATAGACAAAAATTAAAGAGAAAAACTTACATTGAGTTCCTTATATCGATTATATCAAATTCTTTAATTACACATGCTATGTGTCTTTTTTTTTCTTCATTTAGATTTATAATTAAATACTCCTCCGGTCCTTAATATAGGACCTAATTCTTGAGTTGGTTTTGGTCCTAAATTTAAGACCCATTTCTTATATTTATTAATTTTCTCTAAATTACCCCTATGGATACTCCATCAACCATAATCAAGTAGAAGAGGAAGAAGGGGTATTAAAAAAGATAGTTATGGTATTTTAGGAAAAATGTGTCATTTTTTTATAATTAACTAACTTACCTAACTTCTTTAATCTAATCAAATTAGTTAAATGGGCCTTATATTAAGGACCGGAAGAGTATTAATATTTCAAAAATATGACACATAATCATATGTGATTGAAAAACTTGATATAAGTAATATCTAAAACTATTAAAAGGCAAGGACTGGTCATTAAACTCGAACCAAATCATTATGAAAAATTATAGATACTAAAACCAACAATGTGAAACAACAAAATCCAAAATCAAAATTTGATTATGAGGCTAACAATGATGTCAACCCCTCAACACGTTAAACTTGATGAATGTAACAACCAGGTGTGGTCAAGTAATTAAAAATTGACCGAAATAAGTTTGACCATGGATTATGTAAGGATTGATTTAACCCGTCTCGATCATAAGCAAACTCCTCGTCCTTTCCCTGAACCGGCTACCAAAGTTAAAGATATCTATGACCTTATATTATAATTCGAGAGTGCATATTCTTTTTCACTATGGTTTAATTTAAAAAAAAACACTTATAAAAAAATATTTAAAATAAGGAAAACCTTGCCATTTAATTAACTAAACTAAACTAAACTAAACTAAACATTATCCAACTACCCCAAACCTTTGTTTTTCTTCTCCGGCCAACTTTAATCAATTGAAAAAAAAAATCGTAAGTTGGGCCCCACACTGAGTGCCAGCTGTCCTCTCATTACCCACTAATCAAACAATGTACACACTCGAGTCCCGACACCACTTGTCACATCGAAAATAGATAAAATATAATGTCTCTCAGATTCGCCACGTCATCCATTATTATCCTATCAAATTCATCTCAGGCTTTTACCCTCCCTGGAAAATCATTACTCCACTTGTCCCATGGGTCCCACTCTATTTGTCCTTTTATGATCATCACAAAAAATCACTAAGTTCGATGAATCTAGACAAGTCTAGGAGTTTCATGTCAGGAGTTTATAGTGGCCGCGTTTGCATGTGATCCAGGCCCCCATTCGCCGCTTAACAAACAAACGATTTGGATTCGCCGCATTCACTACGCAATTATGAATTATCCACTAACTATTATTAATTTTTTATTTCAATTAACATTAAAGTCCTCAACCAAAAAAAGGGCGCATCGATTTCACAGATTTGCCCTGGGCACCCAAAATATTTACAAAAACTTGCCACTCTATCATCTCGTCCGGACAAAAACGCCACCGTGTCTGGCCTCACAACTCACGTCGTCGAATCCAACTAATCTGCAATTGGCCCCAGTAACGGCCGGAACAACGGGAGGAACTGTGTTTCCCTGAACTGGATTCGTTGTTCGTCGATACGGCGCGAACCATTTGTTCTGCATGTACCGGTTTTTCCTCCACGGCGGCACAGAGAACCCTCTACTCCGAAAGCACCTCTTTGCGGCGTTGCACATGGCCTGAACGATACGCTTCAGTTCCTCCGCCTTGCCGACGAAGATGCTTGGCAGAGAGGAAAGAATCTCGGAGTACTTGCTCGTCGGCCGAGCAATCTCGAACTGGGCGGCGAATCCGACGTCAACGAAGTACCTGTTGCTCTGCCACGATGACGCATCGGATTGGATCACGTCGATGAACTCATAGTTACCGGCGGTGACTCCACTGGAGGAATCCCACCTGGTCTTGCAAATCGCGGCATTGTGCCCTTTCTCTCTCAGAAACGCCATCACATTTCGCAGGAACACCGAAACGTTTCCACGAAGAAACGCAAATTTCTCTATCGCCTCCGAAACATGCGTCAGAAGAAGCTTCCGGTGAGAATCCACATTGTTCGCGACACTCAATCTGAGTATCATATCGTCAACCAGCTCCGATCTATCGTCCTCGAGATCGACCCGATCCGGATCCAATTCATTCGTCACCGGCTTACACTCATCCTCGTTGTCCTCCAGGAAATCAAGCACAAGCTCGGAAAGACACGGCGAGTCCCCGTCACCATCGCCGGAATGTTCGCTCCCGCTGCTCCCGTAACTCAATCGCCGGAGATCAGCTCCAACAAGACGGGCCTTAGCCTCGTCGTCGAGAGGGTCAGTGACCCGCTTCTTTCTCGCAAGCCCCACCATTGATTCGAGCTACAAAAACAATCAAAACCGAAAACCCAACTCTAAAACAGATCAAAGGCAAATACTTGGTGCCCAGATGAAAGCATGATTGAAGAACTATATTATGTGGTTAGGGCTCGACACTCGAGAGTCAACTTCACTCTGAATTCAGAAAAACGTGAAGGTTAGGTGGTTCTTATAAAGGAGATGATGATGGGTTTAGTGGAGTTGGAGGAATTTTCTGGAGAATATTCTAAGGAAATTACCTGGGCAGAGGTGGAAGATTAATGAGAGAGAGAAATGTGGAATGGGTAACAGAGGGATATGCGGGTTGGATTCGGAAGGGAGATACATAGATGCCGGAGCATATGCGAGCTGGTGACGTGTAGGAGTGTGATTTCACCGTGTGTTGGTGAGAGAAAGGTGAGTATGCACGAGCACGGCACGTGGATGAACACATCCACACAACATACCTGCTCTTATTATTATTATATGAAATACTCGTAAAAATTTTAGGATGACGACCAATTTCGTAACCACCGTTGTTGTTACTGTTTGAAGACTTTGACTATATATTGATGAAAATGTTTTTTAATGACAATTTTTAATTAAAAATTAGATCTAATAATATTAAGGATTCAAAAAATAAGTAATACTATATGAAAATGACAATAAAATACCACTTGAATTCTAAAAAGACAAATAAGGCACCTGAATAAGCAAAATGACAAATAGAGCACTGGGTACCAATCTGGAATTCATATTTTCGGCCAAAAGACCAAAATACCCTGTCTGAAAGTGAGAGAAAGGAGAGAGGAAGACCGACGCTGATGAAATGCGGGAAGAAGGAAAGAAGAATGTTGGAAATGCTATTATCTTACTCCTTCGCATCACCATTCTGTAGAGATTGTTGATTTGATGGGTTTTGGTTGTGAGAAAGAGGATTTGTAGTGAGAGAGGGAGTGAACCTGTGGGAAAGATGAAGCGGAAATCAGAAAACAATGGCAAGCAATTACGTAACGTAACTGCTGTCATATGCCTACTGGTTTTTGGTAAATCCCATTACGTGAATGGTAAATTTTACTATACATGTAGTTAATTATGAAAGTTAATAGTTTAATGTTTATTGTGACGTACTTCAGGTACACGTTCACTGAATGATTTGTTTATGCTTATAAGTTGCCTTTCCGGTGAAAACAGGTTTACAAAACCCATTGAAGAAGTAGTCACTTTCACTATAAAAGTTGTGAATCACATTATTTGTTTTGTAAAATTCAGTGTGAAATTTTATTGGTGGTGAAAAGTAAGTTACTCATCCTCCAAAAATATGTTGCAAACCTATTAACAAAGTGGTCACTTTTACTACAAAAGTTGTAAATCCCAGTATATGTTTTGTAAAATTCAACGTGAAATTTTATTGGTTTTTAGAAACAAATTGCTCATCCCCTGAAAACTGGTTGCAAAAGCCATTTAAGAAGTGGTCATTTTCACTATAAAAGTTGTAAATATCACTATGTGTTTTGTAAAATTCAACGTGAAATTTTTTTGATTTTTAGAAACAAGTTGCTCATCCCCTTAAAAGAGGTTGCAAAACTCATTTAATAAGTGGTAATTTTCACTACAAAAGTTGTAAATATCACTCTATGTTTTGTAAAATTCAGTATGGAATTTTATTGGTTTTTAGAAACAAGTTGCCAATCCCTTGAAAACATGTTACAAAACCCATTGAAGAAATGATCATTTTCACTACGAAAGTTGTAAATCTTACTATGTGTTTTGTCAAATTTAGTATGAAATTTTATTAGTTTTTAGAAACAAGCTGCCCATCCCCTGAAAACAAGTTGCAAAACTTATTGAATAAGTGGTCATTTTTACTACGGAAGTTGTAAATCCCACTATACGTTTTGTCAAATTTAGCGTGATTTTATTAGTTTTTACAAACAAGTTGTTTATCTCCTGAAAACAGGTTGCAAAACCCATTAACAAAGCAGTCACTTTCACTACAAAAATTATAAATCACAATATGTATTTTGTAAAATTCATAATTAACTACATGTATAGTAAACTTTACCATTCACGTAATGGGATTTACCAAAAACCAGTAGGCATATGACAGCAGTTACGTTACGTAATTGCTTGCCATTGTTTTCTGATTTCCGCTTCATCTTTCCCACAGGTTCACTCCCTCTCTCACTACAAATCCTCTTTCCCACAACCAAAACCCACCAAATCAACAATCTCTACAGAATGGTGATGCGAAGGAGTAAGATAATAGCATTTCCAACATTCTTCTTTCCTTCTTCCGGCATTTCATCAGCGTCGGTCTTCCTCTCTCCTTTCTCTCACTGCGTCGGTCTTCCTCTCTCCTTTCTCTCATTTTCAGACAGGGCATTTTGGTCTTTTGGCAAAAAATCTGAATTCCAGATTGGTACCCAATCCCCTAGATGTCATTTTGCTTATTCAGGTGCCTTATTTGTCTTTTTGAAATTTAGATGGTATTTTGTTGTTATTTTCCCTAATACTATCCCTTTTCAATATTAGCTCTAGTAATGAAATCTTATAATTAGAACTAAAGATAGTATAATATAAGATGAGTTGACTTATTGGGAGATTAAAGAAGTTATTTTTTCAGTTTTATTTATAAAACACTTTTATTGTGTTTCTAAAAAAAATTAAATTGTATTAATTTTTTATTAAAATATAATAACTTTCCAATTTTATCCTTATTTAATATATATCTTTTTAAAAAAATTATCTATACTATAATAAATTAATAACAAAAAGTTTAATTGGGTCTGACATAAAACAGGATAGATAGTAAGTAGTAGTGTTCCATTTTTAGAATCCATTTCTAAGAAAGAAAGGTGCTGTGGTATGATCAGGTCAAAACAAAAAAATTCTGGCGATTTATCAGTTTTGCTGATATCAATATTTAAACATTTATACTCTTCATTTTTTTGGCCCACATAGAATTGACAAAAAAAATTATTTTATATTTATTTTCAGATAAAATATAAATTCCATTCCATGATTTCATAATAACATGCCAAACAAATATTCTCCAGTCATTATCTGCCATTACATCTTCTAAGGTTTCCATGGTATTAAGAACTTTTTTTTTTTCACCCACAACATTAAGAACTACACTCAATACATGACATAGTTAATTTTACATTTTTATAATAAAATAAATAGAAACAAAGGAACAAGCGTACTTATAAATGGTGCATTAAGATTATAAATAAGAGTATAATAAAAAAATACCAAAAAGTATTGTATGGAACTTTTAGAAGGATATGTAAAACAAAACTTCTTTCTTTTAAAATGACTTATATTTTGAAATGATGAGTAGAAATTTTGTTAAGTCCTCTTCAATTTTTACTAAAAATAAGATACTTTTTAGGGCAAATTTCACTGTAGGACCGCACAAGACAATTAATCTCAAAAAGCCCCCAAAACTTTCTGAAATCTCACTGCAGGACCAAGGGGCCAATCTGATATTAATTCCACAAACGAAATGACGCCACTACCCTTAGCATCAGGTGAACCAGTCCACATGTGAACGGACTGATTCCATGTGTGAATATATGTATTTATTCTGCAAATTGGCTAGTTCCCCTTGCAAATGCGCTCTCCCGCACTTGTTCCCTCACGGACGCATGCATCAAGTGAACCAGTCCACATGTGAACGGACTGATTTCACATGTGAATATATGTATTTATTCTGTAAATTGGCTAATTCCCCTTGCAAATGCGCTCTTCCGCACTTGTTCCTTCATGGACGCATGCATCAGGTGAACCAGTCCACATGTGAACGGACTGATTTCACGTGTGAATATATGTATTTCATCTGCAAATTTGCTAGTTCCCCTTGCAAATGCGTCTCCCACACTTGTTCCCTCACGGACACATGCATCAGGTGAACCAGTCCACATGTGAACGGACTGATTCCACGTGTGAACATATGTATTTATTCTGCAAATTGGCTAGTTCTCATTGCAAATGCACTCTCCCGCACTTGTTCCCTCCTACTAGGGGCAGTGGCGTCATTTCATTTGTGGAATTAATATCAGATTGGCCCCTTGGTCCTGCAGTGAGGTTTCAGAAAGTTTTGGGGGCTCTTTGAGATTAATTGTCTTGTGCGGTCCTACAGTGAAATTTTCCCTACTTTTTAATTAATAATGGATTGACATTTTTATCAATTTAATAACCGACCTGTTTTTTTTTTTAAAAAAAAATCATTGATTTAATGCGATCATGCGATGTATCAAAAGTGAAAGGGAAAATTATAATTAGGTCCCATTTAAGGGAATCAAATACAAAAAAATCCCTTGAAATTATGAAATTATTCTAAAGTCCCAAGAGACTTTTTTGCAATAAATTTTATTTGTTTAATTACCAAATTACCCTTCATTTTTTTTAAGTTTGTATTAATAACTGAAAAAGTAGTAGTTGACAACTCAGGGTGCAAGAATTGACAACTATTGTGGCTGGCTTGACAACTTAGGATGTGATATGCTGAGAAAATGTATTGTCAAACCAGCCGCGATAGTTGTCAATCCTTGCATCCTGAGTTGTCAATCACTACTCTTTCAGTTGTCAATGCAAACTTAAAAAAAAAAAACGTAATTTGATAATTAAATAAACAAAATTTATTGTAAAAAAATCTCTTAGGACTTCAGAATAATTTCATAATTTTAAAGAATCTTTTTGTATTTAATTCCTTTAAGTGGGACCTAATTACAAGTCTCCCGAAGTGAAATGAAATGATAGGGACGCAAATAAAAAGACACAATTGGTGTCCTTGGAGGATAAGGGGTGGGTTCGTTTTGAGGGATAAGGATTGCCGTTTGGTGACATGTTGTGGGGTTAAGTGACTTAGTCTTTTAAATATTATTTTATATGTGAGTAATATTCCATCCGACTTAAACATTATTCTGCTTAATTTGGCCAGTTCTCTCTCATCGTAATTAATACTCACATATAAAATAATTTTTTCTTATATGTAGGGTTCAAAGTTT